ACCAATTAGCCTCTGTTAAATTTAGTTCCGCTAACTTTAAGTCCGCTAACAAAATGTATACATGTTTGTTCCTGTCTGTTGTAAGCGTGTGATGCCGCGACTCGTGTCTCCAACAGCCAGTCAGGCACGCTTGGCTGACTGCGTGTTAGTACATGTAAACGTGACAAGACAATTTTTCGATTATTAAAGTTTAATACTTTTTTTTACAATAAATAAAGACTGTCAGTGTATGCTGAAAGAATCATAGAATGTAATTGTAAACTAATGTATAATTTAATTTCTCATTTATTTGTTAATTTAATTAGGATTTTTTTGTGTCACTATATTTGGTTATGCTAAGTACTGCATAAGTTCATAACCAGGATGTCATCCAAGGTGTGCGCCAAACAAAATTTTCTAAAAACTTACTTTTCATTAAAGTTTAGAATTTTCTGTTTATTAACATGACTAAGACCAACAATAAGTTATATAAAAATGCACTGGTATAATGACTAAGACCAACAATAAGTTACATAAAAATGCACTGGTATAATGTGTATGTGGCTGGAATTGCATATTTACATGAATAATGAATAAGGCCGATAGGTTGTATGAGAATGCAAATTAATTATTTGTGAAATTGTGTACAGTGTACACCTTGATAAGTTGATCATCATCTGATCTTGGCATGATGCTATTTGCTATCTATGCTATACAGTACTATAGTTTTTGGATTCGTTTAATACTTTCTCTCTTTTCGTACAGTAAATAAATATTGTAAAGTGTATGTTGAAACTTGAATGTAAACTAAAGTTTAATTTCATTTGTTCATTTAATTATTTGTGTACACCTTGATCATCATCTGATCTTGGCGTGCTATACCTTTTTGGAAAGATCTTCGTCAAAGCTACAAGACAACATATGAAAATGTCAGCTCTTTAGGTCTGTTTTTAAGGGTTTTAGAGCCCCCAAAAAAAAAAGCTAAATTCATATAATAAAAGTTAGCGGTTAGCATTAGCTTCCGCTAATTTTTTTAGCTGTTTAGCGGTTTAGCGTTAGCGAAGTTAACTTTTTAGTTAGCAGATTAGCGGTTAGTGAAGCTAACTTTTCATTTAGCTGTGCCCACCACTGAATTTGGGGCACTTCTGTCATGCTAAGCTTGTGAGACATGATGATGGAGAGGCAAGTATATTTTCATGCAGTGATCCAGTGACATGACAACAGTTAACATTTACACACATTACTGAAAAATTTATTTAAAGTTATTTAACAAAATTTACACCACTGTTACATGTTGAATAAACCTACTCAAGTTTCCATAAACAGTTTCAGATACTGTATAACTGAATGGAAATTCAATGCTAACAGCCCTATGAAGAGCGAAACCTTAAGAAGTGCAAGATTATAGCTGATTTGTTTTATAGCAACAATACTGTAGGTATTCAATTTTTTGTCCTGAATTAAACAGATTCAAGTACAGTTAACCCTCACTTTACGCGGTTAATGTAACCCGGAGGGTACCGCGGAAAGTGAGGAACGCGTAAAGTGAATAACATAACATATGGGATTAATTGAAATGGAGTCCGGGCCGATCCCCAAACTCCACTTTTTGACGACACACAACTATGTTGTAGTAAAAATTTTATCTTAACTTTATGATGGTATGAAAAAACAAGTAATATAGAAGAGGTTAGGTTAGGAAAGATAAAGGTTAACATAGGAAAAATAAAGGTAAGGTTAGAAAACTAAAATTAGGTGTAACACTTACGGTAGTAGAAGAGATGGGTCAGCATACGGGGATGGAGGCTGGTTCCGAGGCAGAGGGCAGATTACTGGCCCTCAGGTGAATCACCATTACTAGGTGAATCACCATCACTGTCACTATCACTGGCTTGGGCTGGCTGTGGTGGGTTGCGGGCGAAGAAATCTGATATGCTTTGATGACGGCTGGCGTTGATGTTGTCGTGATACACCTTGATGTACGGTCCATAGCCTGCACCAGCCGGGTATGGAAGACTTCATAGTGGTCATCGTCATTGTCGCGGGAAAGGAAGGACTTCATTTTCTCTGCACACTCCATGGCACCCTTAATATCACTATGACTTAAATTGTGTTCTTCGGAGACTGACGCACCTTCTTCCTCCTCTTCACTGACGTGTTCTTCTTCCAACATCTCGTCGGCAGTCACTTCAGGATCTCTGATCACCTCCAGGATGTCGTCGTTGGTGGTCTCGGAGAAGCCTGGAACTGTAACAGTCTGCGCAGCTTCTCTGGCAAGGTCCACTGCTACTGCAACATTCTGAACCTCACCAGTCACAGATTGACTCCTCCTCTCACCTGGTATTCCATGCAACACATGTCTCCATGCGTGACGAATTGTAGCAATAGACAGCTGATCCCATGACTCCACCAAGAAGTCCACAGCTTTCTTGATGTTAAATACTCTCCAGAATTGTTTGAAGAGTATTTTTTGCTGTTCTAACTGTTGATCCTCATCTTCTTCGCTCTTGCTATCGGTGGTGGTGTCACTCAGGTTACGCAACTCTTCCCTGGTGTTGGTGTAGTCGTTCAGGAGCTGGAATTTTTTTGTTGAGAATGCAGCTTTCACATTGCAAATCAACTCCTGGTCCATGGGCTGGATTAAAGACGTAGTGTTGGGAGGAAGGAAGACCACTTTTACGTTGGGGTGACGATCTAACAGTAGGGGCGAGTGTCCTGGTGCGTTGTCCAGCAGCAACAAAATATTAAATGGGACATTCTGTCGCTCACAGAATTTCTTTACATCGGGAACAAAACAGTCATCAAACCAGGAGAGGGACAGTGTAGAGAACATCCATGCCTTACGTGCTGTCAGCCAGTGGACATTTAGCTTGGTCATGTCCATGCTCTTGTAGGCGTGCGGCTTGCGGGCTGTGTGGATCACCGATAACTTGAGCTTACAGGTACCGGAGGCATTGGTGGTAAACAGGACGGTGATGCGTTCCTTCTGCATTTTCCGGCCCCGAATCCTGCTGGCATTCTTCACAACGAAGGACTTGGAAGGTAGCTTTTTCCAGAAAAGACCAGATTCGTCCATGTTAAACACCTGGTCGTCACTGTACTGTCCTTCCTCCATAATCTCACGTAAAAACGGAGGAAATTCCCGAGCCGCAGCACGATCAGCACTCGCTTCTTCACCACCAATGTTTATATTGGTGATCTTGTTCCGGATCTTAAACCTCTGTAACCACCCAGAGGAAGCATTAAAGGGTTTGGGCTCTGAAGTTCCCATCTTTCGTGCCACTGCCATGTACAGTTCACGTGCGTAGTCCTTAACAGAGCGCGTGTCGACCGCCATGTTCCGTCGCGCCTGACGCACCAAGTACCTCACAAGTAATTTTTCTGTCTTGAGAAGCACCTGGTTGTGAAAATACTTGATCATAGAAGCACCTGTAGACTTTGTGATCTTCATGTGCTCCTTTATCTTGGCTGAATCCTTCTTTATAGTCCGGATCGTAGATTCGTTCACGCCATGCTGGCGCGCCAAATCAACCTGCCTTGTTCCTTTCTCCAACTCTTGGATGATGCTATACTTCACCTCGTAGCTTAAGGAACGTCGTGTCTTCTTTGGTTTAGTGCCGCTGGGTCCAGGTAAGGAAAGGTTTCTCTCTGGGGGTGGTGGTCCGGCGGAAGCCATTTTACGGAACAATGGATGCGCGTTTACACGGAGTGGCCTTGAGGGATGAAACTGCCGCGGCTAGGTCAAGCGTCGTCTTTCCTCCCTCCCTCCCTCCCCCGGGTGGACACGTCATAATACTTTAAGCCAATTACAGCTAGCAGCAGAGGGGGGTAGGGATGCATGGCCAATCACAGGTCTGATACGTCATATGAGGTCAGTGATAACGCAACAAAGACACACACTGCGCAACCTTACCGCGCGGCTTGCCCAAGCGGAGGGAGGAGGAGGGAGAGGCAGGCAGGCAGGCGGGCGGGTGGCGGGTGGGGCGAATCTAAAAATAGCGTCGCGCCGGACACTCTCCGCGTAATGGGATTCACGTACCGCGTAATGTGAGCACGTGAGGTTCTGGCAAGGCACCGCGTTAACGTGGAAACGCGGAATGCGGGACCGCGTAAAGTGAGGGTTAACTGTACAGTACGATAGGAATATTTGTTGAGACAAACAAAAATTTAATTTTACTTTATCTTTTACTGTACTGAATATTTTATTTCAAGTATTGATATGCCACACAAATTATGACATAACAGAAACTGTGGTCACACCAATGCAAAGATCACTGTCTTTTCTTAATTTAATATGAACTTGCACTTCCTCTACTCATTCTTAAAGGCTCCAAAATTTCTGCATCCGTGCTTAAGTTACTTGAAACTTATTAAAGATAAAATTACTTAGTAAAGATATGATAATGTAGTCTTTTTGCACAACTAAAACTTTCTTGAAAGCAGTATACCACAATAATAGCACACTGATAGGTCATTTGACACATTTCACCTATTCATCATTCCTGTACTGTGCTCTCTTTGTCCATATACAGTAGTAAAATTTATGTTTGAGAACACAACACCATTCTCTAAAAGATATATTCTCCTTTATTTTATCTTTTTCACATCCATTCCATTAGCAACTTAGATTTGTCTTCAACTCCATGTGTTCCACTACCTACTCATTTAGTCTCATATTGCATTGCACACATTCCACCAACCAAATATAGGTACTACCGGGTAAGTGTATAAGACCGCCTCCATCTTGAATCCTTCACACATGCTGCTCAAAACTGTCTAAAATGCTTTCCCTAAATTTTATCTAATAAAAATAGTTTTTTTTCACTTGTAATCATAATATACTGTACGTCCTACCTCTCCTCCCACCCCCCTAAAGAAAATAATCATTCAAGGCTCCTGCACTTTCATAAATCAATCTTGTCTATCTATAGAATGGCTAGTTATCAGTTAAGAACTGGCTTTAGTACAGTACTTTATATGAGGAAAGCAAAAGTATGTGATAAAACAGTCAAGAGTCTCACCTAATTGGGCTACGAAGACTCAGGACACTTTCAGGACGGCGCACATCTCCAAAGCTATGCCGTCGTGGAGGCTTGTCAAAAAGTCTCTCTGGTTCTCTGTCATGCAAAGATTGACAGTTTTACTTGATATTCCTGAATACAGTACACAAGGTATGTACAAAAGTAGTAGGTAGTAGGCAGCTATCAAACAGGAGGTACTACCCCCTGGGAAGATATTGGAAGCATAATGTGCTGTCTTATGGTAGACTCTGCTTCCATATTATATATAAACTGCTGTACCAACATCTGAATAATGTGCATGTTGACTAATGAGCCATTTTAACCAAATACGTACTACCTTCTGTGCAAAATATGTCCTTAAGTTTTTAGAAATAATTTGAGCATTATTAATTCTCAATAAAATTCTTCATTACCATGCATTTTCATACCTTTATTTATGCTAAATCTGCAGAGTAATTTTGTACAGTATTCTTAAATTAATGTAGACCTTGGGATTCTGAAATTTAGACAAATAATTTTAAACTCATACAAATAGAAACTTACTTGTTGATGGGTGGGAGTTTATCAAAGGATGATCCTCTGATAGACAACACTGATGGTGACTGTGAACAAAGAGGAGAATCAGACATATAAGGCCAGAGGTCACACTGCACCATCACCACAAAACCATATTCATCTGCACCTGACACCATACACCACCCAGCAGAAACAAGGGAAGGTGGGGCAGTAGATCAAGATAAAGGATTAAAAAAAGATGGCAAAAGAACAAAGGGTACCAGTAATATAGTAAGCAGAGGAGCAAGTGGAATAAGGAAGAAGAGAAAGAGTTGTGTTGCACTAGTAACTTTGCTTTGTGAAAAACTGAGTATGAGAATCAGCCTATGGTTATCTTTAACTATAATTTATCTTGCTCCACAACTATGACCTCAATTGGAAACTATCTAAATACACCATCAAGTATATACATAATGTTAAAATCTCAAATAAAGTACAGTACAGTAGTCCCTCACCAACTGCGGATTTGCCATTAGTGGATTTCAGGTATCCACGGTTTTTACTCTGTATACAATTTCAGCCAACCACTGCACTATATTTCGAGTATCCACACTTTAGCAGTGTCATTTTCCTTTGTGTTTCAACGTATTCATCTGTGCCATGTTCAGCCTCCCGCCACTACTCCCACCACACTCTCAGTCTTGTGATCTCGTACCATGCAGATTTATTTTACTGCTCCGTACGCTGGATAGTTATGTATTTTCTTCAGTAATAACATCGATTTTGCCTTTAACTATGGCCCCTAAGTGTGCTTTGACAGTTGGTGATAAATTTGAAAAGAAACTGAGGAGGGCAAGGAACATAATGAATAGAAAAGTAATTTGAAGTGCTCGATAGACTAGCATGTGGCCAAAGTGTAGCGTCAGTAGGATGCGCTATAGGGGTAAACGAATCTTTGGTATGTACAATTAAGTTTAGTGAGGCTACAATAAGGGCCTGTGATGCTGGTAGCACATCAAGAAGTGCAAAAGTAACTTATATGCCATGCGATCATAATCTAGAAAGGATGGAAAAGGCACTGAACATATGGATGGAAGATCAGGCCCAGAAAAATGTGCCTTTAAGTTCTAAGATGATATGCGTGAAGGCCAGGTGGATGTACGGCCAGCTTGTTGAAGGTGCGGGTGAGGTAAGTGTCGTGGACTTAAAATTTTAAGCCAGTAAGAACTGGTTTAAAAATTTAAAGAAAACATACAGCCTGCACAATGTGAAATTCATTGGAGAATCCGCATCAGCTGATCACCAGGCCGCTGCGCTGTTTCCTGGAGAATTAGTGAAATTAATTCAGGAGAAGGGTTACTTGCTGGAGCAGGTACTGTATTCAACATGGACGAGTGGCATTTTTTGTAAAAGATTGCCAAAAAGAACATCCATTTCAAAGGATGAGAAGTCTGCGCCAAGGTTTAAGGCAGCGAAGGACAGGCTGACCCGGTCTCTGAACCCCCATGTCCTGAAGAGCTTAATAAGCATCACCTCCCTGACTTTTGGTGGTATAACCATAAGGCCTGGGTTAATGCAGCCATCTTCATGGACTGGTTCAACAACTGTTTGTGTGTGAGGTCGAGTGTTATCTTGCCCCCAAAAAATCTGGGGTTCATGGTGTTGCTCATGGCTGACAATGTACCCAATCATCCTGAAGCACTCCAGCTTGCCCATCCCAATATAGAAGTGGTACAGTATATCTGCCTTCAAGCACCACTTCACTTCTTCAGCCTATGGACCAGAGTGTAATAGGCACTTTTAAAACTTATTGCAATCACCGCACCTTCAGCCGTATCTTTGATGCAATGGAGAAGGACTCCACCTTATCTGTTTCTGACTGCTGGAAAAATTCTAACATCTTTTTCTGAATCAGAATAATAAAAAATTCAGTGGATGAAGTGAAGCAGTCAATACTGAATGTGAGCTGGGGAAATATCTGGTCTGAGTTGGTGAACGACTTCCAAGGTTTCCCTTCAGTCGCTGCTGAGGTGCGGAGCATCATAAAAACTGCGCAATCTTTGCCAGGTGAGGGGATGTGCGCCATGCAGGCTAATGAGATAGAGGAGCTCCTTGGTTTTCATGTGGAGGAGTTGACAGAGGATGACCTAGAGAAGCTGATACAGTCCTCCAATGATGACGAGGATGAGGTGAAAAAAGTGAAAATGACGTTTAAAAATCTTAATAAGGGAATGCTTATGTTTTCAACTTTGGCTGAACATTTCATGGAAATTTATCCTTTTATGGAGCTCAGCCTTAGGTGCATGTGTTGGAGGGCGCAATGAGGCCCTACAAAGAGGTGTACAGGGATCTCCAAAAAAATGAAACAGCCATCCATCCTCAGTTTTTTTAGCAAAATACCGCTGCTACAGCTACCCACTACCACCCACCAGCGGCTACACTCCAGCCACCACCTGCCAAGATGTCCATGCGTCACCCACCTCATCAGACATTGGCAAACCTGAAGAGCTGCATGAAAAGACTTGGCCTCTCTCCTCCTCTTCTTTATATTAACCACCTCTCCCTTCACATCATACTTTACTTTTTTACTTTTATCCTCTTCGCTACTGATCAGCTCGTTAGCTTCTTGGGCTGTCAGTCACATCTCTGTTATGCACTGTTGGCAAGTACTGGGCATACACTGGTTCCGAAATGTATCTGAACCTGCTCCAGTGTTGGTCAAGCCTGGTCTTAAACAGCTCACACTCAGTGCCATCACAACACTCTCTGCCAGGTTGTTCCACGAGTTCACAATTCTCACCCCGAAAAAATTCGCCCTCAGTTTTCTGGACTTGCAGCTTCTTCAACCTTGAGTTGTGACCCCTTGTGGGGCAGGCGTTCATTGTCAACATACACATCCAGGTCCTTTTCACAAACAGACTCTATTAATGCACTTTCTTCATCCTGTTGGAACATATGATTCGCCTCCTTACCGTTAGTATGTCCTAGGTACATCCTCTTACACTTCGTGACATTGAATCTTAGCAGCCATTTCTTTGAACATTCTTGAAGCTCACAGAGATCTTTCAGCTGCTCTTCACAGTCTGTTTGGTTCTTAATTTCCCGAAATAACTTGGCATCATCCACAAACATTTGTATGGAGGAATGTACAGCTTCTAGCATGTCATTTATGAAGCAAACAAACAACATCGGACCCAATACACTGCCCTGTGGTAACCCACTTTTCAAGGGTACACATGGCAATTTCATACAATTAATCACCACACACTACTTGCGATCATGCAGAAAGTCTCCGATCCACGCTAGGACACTTCCCTGAGTCCCGTACCCTTCCAGTTTAATTTTCAGCCTTTCATGGGGTAAGCTGTCAAAAGCCTTGGAAAAAATCTAGGTATATATTGTTGATATTGCCACCCTGTTCCAGAATTTGGGTCCAAACATTCAGTACCTTGAGTAATTAAGTTAAACAGGAGCATCCCGGCATAAAAATGTGTTGGCAATCCTTTACAAGGTTGTTTTGTAGCATATATTCCATCATGGCATGTCTTATAATGCTCTCAAGTACTTTACATACTATGCTCACTGGTCTATAATTATTCTTGGAGTGACAGTCGTCCTTCTTGAAAATTGGAAACATAGCCATTTTCCAGTCACTAGGGAAATTTTGCTCATCGAGGCATCTACAGAAAAGGATCTTCAGGGGTCCAGCAAGCTTGTTGCACAACTCTCTTAGCACTTTGGGATGCACTATGTAAGCGTCGGGACTCTTATGAACCTTTAGCTTTGACAATTATTTCTTATAACCTCTTCTGAGAACACAATGTGGGTCAGTGCTGCGTCAAACTGTCTGTTCTCAAACGCAGGAAGATAGTTTGCATCCACTCTTGTGAACACCAAGGAAAAGTAATTGTTCAATGCCTTTGCCCTGTCTTGATCAGAATCAGCATAACTACCATCTTCAAGCCTCAGGTTCTAAACGCCTACTTTTGTTTTTATTTCAACTTTGCAAAGCGGTAAAACTCCTTTGGGTTTGACTTGACCTCGCTCGCGATAAGCCTCTGGAACTCTTTTTCAGCCCTATAACACTCTGACTTTGCCTGGTTCCGGCATACATCCTCCTGTCTTGCTCATCATTTGTCCTGACCCATGTCTCGAATTTCTGAGTTTTCATCTTAACTCTGTCGACCACCGCATGGTTCATGTGTAGCGATCTCTTTGTATTCCTGGAGGCACTGGGTTTGGTCTTACTTCACTTTTATCCTCTTCACCACTGATCGGCTCACTAGCTGCTGGGGCAATCGGTCACTTCTCTGTTGCGCACTGTTGACAGGTACTGGGCATGCACCGGCTCCTGAATATATCTGAACCTGCTCCAGTGTTCGTTAAGTCTGGTCTTGAAAGAGCTCACACTCGGTGTCGTCACAACACTTTGTGGCAGATTGCTCCAAGAGTTCACAACTCTCACTCCGAAAAAGTTACCCCTCACAGTTTTGGGTATATATTTATCAATCAAATGGTTCACTTTACTGGCTAAAGTGACTTAGAAACCTTCCATATCAAGATAGGTTAAAGAAACTAAACTTGCATTACCTAGAAAGACGAAGAGTGTGGGGATATATGATAGAAGTATTTAAGTGGGTGAAAGGAATTAATAAAGGAGATATAGATAAAGTTCTTATAATATCCGAGCAGGATAGGACTCGTAGTAATGGATTTAAGTTGGATAAGTTTAGGTTTAGGAGGGAGATAGGAAGGAACTGGTTCACAAATAGGGTGGTGGACGAGTGGAACAAGCTTAGCAACTTTGTAGTAAGTGCTGGAATGCTGGAAAGTTTTAAAAGGAGGCTAGATAGATTCGTGGATGATAGAGGGTGGTAGTAACTCTCGACAGGAGCTGCCATGCACAGGCCAACCGGCCTATTGCAGACTCCTTATTTTCTTACGTTCTAAGATATTCAGAGTAGTGCCTGCATTCTTATAACTTAATGCATTTATATTATGCTGTTATACATGTACAGTGGGGTATGCTATAACGAACGGATCCTACTACGAATATTCATATAACGAACGGTTTTACCTATAAAATTGAGAATGCTATAACGAACGCAACTCCTACAACGAACGCGGATGAATACGGGACTATTTCGCCTGGCGCATGAATATTGTTGTACCGCGACCCACAACAAGAGCGTCAGGCGCCATCTTTGTCTCATTGTGTAGCCAGTGCACCACTGTTATTGTTGAAATTTCGTCTTTTGATGTGGAAATTCGCGTTATTTGTATAACTATTTTGTTATACAAGTATACAATTGTAACAATGAGTCGTCCAAAGCGAGTGAGAAAGCTAATAACCCTTGAAACTAAGAAAGAAATTGTAAAGAAACGTGAGAATGGAAGAAGCATTGCGAAACTTAGTGATGAATATGGGATGGCTAAATCGACTATATGTACGATTTTGAAGAATAAAGAGGAGTTAAAAACTGTGCAAGTGGCTAAGGGAATCTTTAGACTTAGCAAAGCAAAGTGTAATGTGATTGAAGAGATGGAAAATTTACTCTTAGTGTGGATAAAGGAGAAAGAAATGGCAGGTGGTAACATTAGTGAAGCTATAATTTGTGAGAAGGCTAAACAATTGTTTGAGGACCTTAAAGCCAAGACTCCCAGTGGAAGTGATAGTGATGTGCCAGTGTTTAGGGGTACCTGCATGCTGAATAACACTAAGGTAAGATAAAGTACCGTATTTTTTACATTTTCCACAGAATTTTTTCAGTGTTAAGTGGTTGTATTTGGGGGCCTGGAACGGATTAATCCTATAACGAACGAATGCTATAACGAACGAGGTTCTGGAACCAATTACGTTCGTTATAGCATACCCCACTGTATTTGATTCAAATTTAATGAAAAGTACAATGCAGGTATTGTTTAGTGAAGGAACAGGCAATTTAGTTAGGCTTTGACGAGTATTATCCGCGGCCATGGAACCTAGCCCCTTATTTCCCATAAAACTTTCGTCTTACCAACTGTGGCTTTATCAACCAGGGAATTTTCCAGGACCCTGACCCCTGTGGTTGGTGAGAGACTACTGTAATGTACGATGATGAGCAAAGAAAACACCCTTAAATGACACAACAAAGCACATAAAAAGTAACCAAAAACACAAAATATTAACATACAGTAGTTTACTGTACGTATTTGTATAAGTGACAGAAATATTCACTGGATCTAAAATTTCATCTGCTAACACCTGTCTGACTGTCAAAACTTGTTCACTCACTCTGAGCATTTGGTTGACATCATTGAGGTACTTCACATCTCTGTCACTATTACTGTACTGAATCTCCATTTGGTAAAGAGAATACAGCTCCTGCAATTCTGGTGGCATGTTGTGGTTGAGCTCTGTGTGGGATACAGCATTAGTTAATATACTCCATCTATACATGAATAAGGTGTCCATTACCCAATTTTTAATTGTGCATCAATGTGACATGCTTTTAAAGAAGTGCTTACACAATTTGTTTTATATAATATTCAACCTCTTTCACAGTACAGTATTTACTACTGCACCTGTAATTATGAGTAAAAATCATGACTTTACCATTTAGTTTCTTTAAAGGTACAGGATGTTTCCAAACATATTTTTCCTTTCCATCAATTCTTGCTAAATGTTTTGAAACATACACACACCTGCAAATCTGTTCAAAATAATTTTCCAGGTTTAAATATATGTTCAACTATCTTATGAACACAAGTGGACAATGCCACTACAACTTCTGACATAAAACAAGACTCCTATGTTATGAGAATCATGAAGACTTTTCTGAAGCGATAACTGCAAATTTTCTCCAAAAGTATCTACAACTATGAAGGTGTGAGTGAAAAACATTTTGACCTTTGGTCTTATTTGTGTTGGGAGTGTTTACGAGAATTAATAAATGATTCTCCATCAAGAATTGCAATATTAAAAAGAAGTTCTTCCTCTGGGGATAAATTGCTTGTACAGTACTGTATCAATGATTCAAGCTGATCTTTATAACACACACAAGAGAGAGAGAGAGAGAGTAATGAATGTTTAAAGAAAATTATATACAGTTGTACCCCACTTAACGTGGTCAATAGAACCCAGAGGGTCCCGTGTTAAGTGAAATCCGCGTTAAGTGAACAACAGAACATATGGGATTAATTCCAATAGAAACCGGCCCGACCCCCAAACTCCACTTTTTGAAGACACATAACTATGTTGTAGTAAAAATAACATCTTAATTTTATGATGGTACATGCACACAATTAATACTTAAGAGAAATAGAGAAATACAGTCGCCAAGTTAATGTCCATTCAAATAATGGACTCAACTCCCTCCCCCTCTCACACTACACTGCCGGCTCTTCCCTCTCTGAGAAATTTTTGGGGGAAAACCACTAAATTTTAATAAATAATACCTCAAACTAAAGTTAGGATAATACAATTGACATTGCTGGATTCCTTGTAAGACCAGGAATATTTTGAATATAAATGTCATATATTTTGCACAAAAGATAACATAGTTACCCAGAGAAAATTTTTATCTAAAATTTGTATGTCTAATGCAAAATATATGATGTTTATATTCAAAATGATCACCAAATTATAAGAATTCCAGCAATGTAAATTATATTCTGACCGGGTAATTTGTATGAATTTTATGAGCTAAAACAAATATCTTCAGTTAATAAAAAAAAAATAATCTTCACGACACTATCTGTCAATCAAAGTACCCCACCTTGCCTCCCCCCTCTTCCAACCGCGCGGTCAGTCCCAACCCTCCCCCCCACCCCCCACCAATCCTCCCTTCAAGAGATGTGGGGTGAAAAAAATAAATTTTAACATTTTGTATTAAATAATACCTCAGATTAAAGTTAGGATAATATAATTGACATTGCTGGATTCCTTGTAAGACCAGGAATATTTTGAATATAAATGTCATATATTTTGCACAAAAGATAACATATTTACTCAGAAAACATTTTATCTAAAATTTGTATGTCTAATGCAAAATATATGATGTTTATATTCAAAATGATCATCAAATTATAAGAATTCCAGCAATGTAAATTATATTCTGACCGGGTAATTTGTATGAATTTTATGAGCTAAAACAAATATCTTCAGTTAATAAAAAAAAAAAATATTCTTCACAGGGTAACAGATGGTCGGTCGGTCCCTCCCTCCCCCCCACCCCCCACCAACCGTCCCAAGGAGATGTGTGGGAAAACCAGAATACTTAACTTTTTTGTAATAAATAATACCTCAAACTAAAGTTAGGATAATATAATTGACATTGCTGGATTCCTTGTAAGACCAGGAATATTTTGAATATAAATGTCATATATTTTGCACAAAAGATAACATAGTTACTCAGAGAAAAATTTTTATCTAAAATTTGTATGTCTAATGCAAAATATATGATGTTTATATTCAAAATGATCACCAAATTATAAGAATTCCAGCAATGTAAATTATATTCTGGCCGGGTAATTTGTATGAATTTTATGAGCTAAAACAGGCAGTCAGGCAGGGTGGTGGGTGGGGCAAATCTAAAAATAGCGTCTCGAGCCGGACACTCACCGCGTATATGTGGAAAAAATCCGAGCCGGACACTCACCGCGTATATGTGGAAAAAATCCGTGTTAAGTGAAAGTTCAGCTCTGGCGAGGCACCGCGTATATGATAAAACGAGTTAAGTGAAACCGCGTTAGGCGGGGTAATACTGTACTGTACAAAATTCTGGAAAAGCTATCATATTTCATATCTCATTTATATAAATTATTCTTGAACAGAGGGATGAATAAAAATTTTCTGCAACCTATGCGTATTACATGCAACAGAATGGTTACACACAGTTTTTTCACATTTTGCTTGAATAAATTGCATATTTCAACACATGCAATAAGTGAGAAATTATACCTAAATCACATATAAGACACATCATTACACAGGTGACAAATACCCACAAATACAGGTATAAAGATAAACATTAACGGACTATGGTGAAGTGAGAACCAAACATGTTCAGTAGGATGACATGAAATGGTGACAGTGAAACACTTGCCAAATGTGTACATCAGGAACTCAAGAGCTGAACATATACTGTATGCTGTACAGTGCAGTATATATGTTCAGCTTGTGAGACTGAGACATTACCCTATTTGGAAAAAATAAAGTGACATTGAACAGATGATTATTTGATGTAAGTGATCAAAGTAAATCTTAATATTTCAAGTTCACTATGAAGATTTTCATAAAGAAGTACAGTAGAACTCAAGTTAAATAAAATATCTGTGCAAAGTTGAATAATTTTAAGTGTTTCTATGCTGGGCACACCACAAGCACATGTGAGAAATTTGCAAACCAGATGGTGGATGTTGGAAATCTGTGTACTGTACCCTGTATTGTATAACAAAGTCACCACTGCTTTAGTACAGCTGTTTAAAAGTAAATAGTGACATCAATTACTTACAAATAATGCTGTTTCAAACTTTTAAAACTTCCTTTGCAGTAAAGCAAAAACAAGACATTGCTTCCAAAATTCAATAAGCCAGATATCTTTGATAATAAATGAAAATATACAGCATAAATGCAGCCTGTGGAGACCGAGACACATTGGGTGGACAATTAAAGTGCACAAGACACCTGAGCCTTACCCATCCTCCATGACTGCACCCTCATGCCACGCTTACCTTGACCATCATGCATGGCTATATGAAAGACAAGTCAAATGCATTTATGTTTCCACAATCCATTTACAGTACTTTCTGCTAAAATTACTGTTGAACCCTTCACAAATCACCTCGGTTTATTCTAAAAAGTTTATGGGTATTGCCCTTTTTTGGGGGACAGCAGTTTCTACATTCATCGCAAAAGCTGAGTAATTATGAAGAACAATAGCAATAAACACATCCACATGAAAATAAGTTCCTCCTTTTAGGCTTTTATCTTTTTTTTAAGAATTTCCATTTTTTGCTGTTTTTGTACCCTTTCTCTCTTGATCTCAGTGAGTGATGCACATTTAGAAATCATCCTATATACAGTAGTGTAGCCTCTTAAAGAGAAAGAAATTAATAAAGTAAAATCCAATCATGTGGCCTTGGATATGCAGTCCTATTCATCAGTTTCTTAGTAATATACATTGAATTACCATGCTACTGCAGTAGATTCTAAGAAGAATTCAATCAAACTGCTCATAACAAGGAGTACAGTGCTGTACAATACAGTACTGTACTGTAACTGTTAATGTGTGAAGTTCATCTATTCAACTCTCCCACAACCATTAATTCCTCACAAGCTGTAATACAATATAAGAAACTTGCCTCCATATTCACTAAAGTTTCTTTATTCTTTATTATTTTCATCATTAAGTGAAAGTACCTTAACCAAGGAAGAAAAACATAAGAGTCCAAGCCATAAAATTTGTCCCTTGCAGTACAAAAAAGTGGATTTCATTCATTCAATCCTCTCTTTGTGTCTACAAGATATCTCTCTATGGATCATGTGTTGTAAGATAGAGCTACAGTATAGCAAGAAATTGTAGAGTATACAGTCATGACCTAATTTTCATCAAGTGTAAGAAAATAAGACATGGACAAATGTGTAGATAGTGTGTTATACTGATGCAGAATACTGTAAAGAGTATTTCGCACAATTTATAATGTCTTTAACATGGCTGTTCTAAGAATAGGTAACTCCTAAATTCTGGATCCTTGGTAGATTATTATACTTCAATCTCCTTAATCACTTTAATATTTAGCTTTCAAAAATATACTCCAAAAACTACAGGTGATTAAATAAAGGAATCCAGTATAGCATTCACAAAGTCTGATGAATGAACTATACACACTATTGTTTGTAGACTTTTACAGCCCCAGCATTCCATGCCTCAATCATTTTATTCTACTCTTCTTTTCTTTGATTCTACAGTTAAGAAGACTGGGTGCTGTTATATAATCAATTGATGTCTAGACCAATGCATTCCCCAGGCTAGAACAGGCAAAGAACATACTGTGACAACAATATTATTTTCACTTTCTCTCACTCAAATATTACATTACAGTACAGTACTACTAGTTTCATTAAATGTTAACCCACATTAGATGATGAAGAGTTTAAAAAGACACATATATCTTAACTGCTTTTGAGGTGTACAAAATATTTTGTTGGATATATATAATAAACAAGTATGGAGGCATACAAAACAGTGAAATGTAATATTCTCACATATGATATTTCTAGGTTTTAAAACATAAAAGGTACCCTTATCTTTTGCGGTGGGTCTATTATCACAAATATTCTGCTCTACATAGAGATGTTTTGTTATATACAGTACAAGTTTAATTTGGAACATTATAGCTATGCCTAACTACAACCACACTGAAAGTATTTTTGCTACTGTACATTCTATGGAATCAACAAAAATGTAGACATCTAATTGCTTCTCTATACCCTGTATTTTCGATTCAAGCAATGTGTACCAAAATTAACCTTTATACATAACTATACTCAAAGGTGGGCAGTGGCACCACAAAAAATTGCGGAGCAACTTGTGCCGCAACTTTTTTGGTTGAGCGTGCAGTTGCGCCTCACATTTTTCCAGAGAGTTGTGGAACTGATTACAACACAACTTTTACAAGCATTTTCAAGCACAAGCGCATCGCACAAAATTTTTCAGCAATAATTGAAAATTGGAATACAACCGCATAAGCAAACGGGCATCCCGAGAGCTGCGCATTACGAAAATTTCTGTTTCTGACGGAATGATTCAACATACACATGATACAGGTCAGGCAGCATATTTCTGAACTGTAAACCAGATGAGACCCTTCACCCCCCCCCCTCCATCGTTCCCTCACTGTAGTTGCCAGATTTCATCTTTCACATAAATTCTAGAAACTAGAGTTAATGTAAAAGATGAAATCTGGCAACTACAGTGAGGGAAGGGGAGGGAGGAATGATTCATATCATAAGCAGTCCGGCAATCAGTAGCACTGCAGTTAAGGTGTCAGTTTCTTGTTGTTTTGTTTCTTGTTATAATTAGTACCGGTATTATGAATCGTTTTGTGACGAGGAGGAAGGAGTCTGTGGCCGGCAGCAGTAATCCTGCCACTGCCGACCAGGACATGGACATGGAAGTTGAAGTAACTGAGACTGTTGACAGCCAGTCCACTGAGACTGAGGCCAGTGGCAGTGAGGCTTTTTTTTAAATTTTGTAATAACATATTGATAATATTAACTTTTTTGTATCAATTAAATTATATTTTGTTTTACTTGTAAATAGGCAAAAAAATTATTTTAGTACTGTACTGTATTTGTTTATTTATTTATTTTTCAAGGTTGGGCGTTGCGCTTGCGGCGAAACTTTTTGAAAATGGTTGCGGTTGCGGCGCAACTATTTCAGCAGAGTTACGGTTGCGGCGCAAAAAAAAAAAAGTTGCGTGTGCCCACCTTTGACTATACTGTACTACAGTACAGTAATGTAGTACAGTACAGTACTTCCTTTCTCAGTGCATGAACCACATACTGTATCACCAATTTTGGTACTAATTCCAAAAGTCCATTTTCATATAAACCTAAAACCATGAAGGCATGCTAACCACTCTTATATTCTTACATGTTATTATGTCAATTTACAGCGAAAGTTTAATTACTCCAAAAGCAATCCTGACAAGTGACCCACCTTCAATCATTTGTCGCTGACGAGTAATGATCTCATCACACACAGAGCGTTGACGGTCATACCGCATGATGACAAGATCTCTGCGGCGCAGCTCATGCTCCTTCAGTAATGCTTCACTCTGCATCTCTACCTTCTGGATCTCTAACTCATGCACCTATGGACAACAAGTACACATACTACAATACATTAATACTGCTAACTGGTTTTGTTGTGATGAGCCTTACAAAGTGCCAGAATAAAATCCTTGTGAATTTAGTTCACCAAAAAAAGTCATGGTACTGTACTAATATTCTCATTATAAAGAAATGAGAATTTGTTCTAATAAATCGGACAAAATTAAATAACAATATTCTAAATTTTCAGATCAACTCTCTTTCACTTTGTGTGTGTGTAGAGAGAATTGTACCAGATATAGATTCTATAATATTACCTATTCAGTCCCTAGTCAATCACAAATATTAAAGAGAAGTATATTAACTTTAATCATGAGAGGAGAAAAAGCACAGTATCATATTCTTTCAGTCGGTCAAAAGTCAGTGGTATACAGGTACCAGTACTATTTGTATGTCTAAGCTGTGACAGATACAGCATAATATATTAACAAAGCTCTTGCTAATGTTAATAATGTAATGGTGATGGGTACTTGAGTTTTCAGCATCACTTATTGATGCTCTTTCTCTGGTAATCATATACTTTATGGTTAACCTAATTTACTGGGGAGCCTGGGGGCAAAAATGTAATACAGTAATAACAATAACAATAATAATAATAAGAATTAGTTGAAAGTAAATAAAATTTATAATACAAAAATACAGAATTAAAAATAAAATTATAATAATAATAACAACTCTGATATTAATAATAATAATAATAATAATAATAATAATAATAATAATAATAATAATAATAATAATAATTATGATAATAATAAAGAACCATAAAGAAATAAAAAAATGAAAAAAGATCATTAGTGAGAAACAATATGAGATTTTACCATGGGTAGGAAACAGTAAGGGATGTAAACTGACTAACCTTGCAGAGTAGGGCAAGAAGTTCCCGCTGCTCATCTGTGGTGATGGAGTTTGGCAGTGCCTGAGGAAGTGACATTTGTGTTATGATCAACACATTCTCAACATGTTTGCTATGACCATAAAGATGATCCTAACATATGTTGTACAATCAGCAAGATGTTCTTAACGTGTGAGATATGATCACCAACATAATCTTAAACATATGATCACTTAGGTGTGAGCTATGATCACCAGGATGATCTAACATGTGAGCTATGATCACCAGGATGATCTAACATGTGAGCTATGATCACCAGGATGATCTAACATGTGAGCTATGATCACCAGGATGATCTAACATGTGAGCTATGATCACCAGGATGATCTAACATGTGAGCTATGATCACCAGGATGATCTAACATGTGAATCATCTAACATGTGGGCTATGATCACCAAGATGATCTAACATGTGGGCTATGATCACCAAGATGATCTAACATGTGGGCTATGATCACCAAGATGATCTAACATGTGAGCTATGATCACCAGGATGATCTAACATGTGGCTATGATCACCAGGATGATCTAACATGTGGGCTATGATCACCGAGATGATCTAACATGTGGGCTATGATCACCAAGGTGATCTAACATGTGGGCTATGATCACCAAGATGATCTAACATGTGAGCTGTGATCACCAGGATGATCTAACATGTGGGCTATGATCACCGAGATGATCTAACATGTGGGCTATGATCACCAAGGTGATCTAACATGTGGGCTATGATCACCAAGGTGATCTAACATGTGGGCTATGATCACCAAGATGATCTGAGTATGTGAACTACAATCACTAAGATGATCTGAGTATGTGAACTACAATCACTAAGATGATCTGAGTATGTGAACTACAATCACTAAGATGATCTATACAGTATTAATGATGGTTAGAACTCACTAAACTGAAATGAGTCAGAGTACTCTCATAAACATGGTCAAATTATCCTCACCTGGAGGGCAGGGACAACTAGCTGAGGTTATTAACTATTTTTGTGAAAGGATGATCTAAATACAGTGACCCCTCCGTTAACGAACTCAATCCGTTCCAGAAGGTCGTTCGTTAACCGAAAACATTGTTTCAATGGGTTTTTGGGTAATTGGTTCCAGCTCACCGAAAATTTCCTAAATTCAACAAAAATGGTAGAAAAGTTCACTTAATTTGAGGTGTGTATGTAGAAGGCTCCTGGATGATGATGATGATGGGATTTAGAATGGGGGTGGAGGAGATGGAAGAAGAGAAGGCATTGGGGTGGAAGAGAAGTCACCCCATGGTGCCATTTCACCCATAAAATTTTAGCTCTCTTGGTGTAATTCAAGATTACTTTCTTTAAATCAACACTGCACTGCATTATATATTGTCAATATGTAAAATATATTTCAAAATGACCAATAATTTGCTTGGAAACACAGAAAAAAATCGTTTAGTTGAAGAGAGTCTCAAGAAAGATGTTACCTCCAGTGAAAACAGAGAGAAACTAACTCCTGTTTGCTGTGTTAAGAGGCTGGATGCCGCGCATTAAACTAGTCACTTTACCTTCAATTATGTTCAATAATTGTTAAAATGACTAAAAAATTGAATATTAAACTTTTAAAATTATTGAATAGTATAAACTTCTTGATATTTACTAAAATAGTAAGGAATTTACGCCCTAGAACCGATTAATGTATTGGCGGACTGATACTAAAGCTGGTTGCCTGGTCAGTGCAAGCGAAAACATGTTGAGGTTGGTTCGTAAGAACTTCGTTAACCGAATTTTTTTTCGTTAACCGAATTGAAGATCCTTATGGAAGGCAGTTCGTTAATCGAAATTACGTTAACCGAGGTGTTCATTAAACGAGGGGTCACTGTACGTAATCCATTCTTGGGTGATTATGATGCTCTGACTTGGATGGTTATGGCAAACCATACTATGGTAAATTATGATTTTCTGGCTAGGATGGTTAAAACAAGGCATGCTAGGATAATCATGATATTCTGGGCAGGATGTTAATGAAGTACAGTATTATACAAGATCATAACTATCTATGATATGATGATCATTAAAATATATGCAAAGACGATCGACACAACCTGTCCAGGATGGTCGTCACACACACAGGGTAGGATGGTCCTGACATTTTTAAAGAATGGCTATGTCATTCTTATTGGAAAGGTTATACTCTCCTGATAAGCTTCATCAAAATTTCCCATTTATGCTGGTTATTAAATTCATAACCCATGATGAAAAAGCTACCCAATTCAATGTACTGATTAAAATTCCAAGTTATAGTTTTTACACTGTGTATGTCTGATAAACTTAAATATTTTTGTATTATGATGAGCTGTCAATGCATCAAATCTTTTACTGTCACAATAACAACAAAAAAGTACTAGCCAATCTACTTTCAAGAGGACAATTAAAGTACTTAACATTCACTTTGTCACAAATCATTAAAGGTTACTAAATACAAACACTGATCTTTGTTTCAAAAATACTCAAAGCTATGAAAATATACTGTACTTGATAGAAACATTCCCACAAATTAATAATCTCATTTTGTAAACAGGACATGCATCAATTATTTCTGTACAACTACTGTACTTCAAAAACACTTAACATGTACAGTACTTTACTGGTAATTACCTCACCACCTAAATGGATTGTGGTAGTAACTTACAAAACCCAATTAGTACAGTAAAAAAAAAAATATATTTTAATAATTTAAATAGTAAATGAAAATTCATCATGGTAATTTACAAGAAAAGGAAGTGTAATAAAGCCGTTTTTTTCTAAAAACCAGTTTTTGTGATAAAATCGAGAATGCGACGTCTACCTTTATATCTAGGTATGTAAATGCCTAACATTAACTAACCAGGCCAACATACAGGCAATTAAAACATCTAATAATTACTTAAATACGTAATATTAGGAAGACATTAATACTGCAATAAATAGTACTGAGGACTTAAGTATTTAAAAGTGTAGTGGTAACTATTATGGTGTACTGTACCTTGTGTGTACAGTAACAAACTACATACTGTACTGTTTATCACAAAAATTATTAAAGTAGTAAAATTCAGATGCATACTGTACAGTATATCACAATAGGTGTGCGTATAACAAAAATTTTCAATAAATTCAAATGCTTATTAAACAAGAAAGAATTAATTCAACTACAGTACAGTACATATTTTGCAATGAGGAATAATCCAATTTAAATGTACAAACCAGAAGCAGCAATTCAAATTAATTTAAATTATCACAGCTGTTAACAAGACTAACAAACTACAGTCATGAGTCGCTTTACGTCCGTCTGAACAACGTCCGATCACATATACGTCCGTGGCCCATAAAAATAATAAGAAAATAATGGGGATAAAAAAAAACGTTCAGACAACGGGATGTAGCGGACGTAAGTGGCCTTAGAGCGGGCGCGCTCACGCATGCATCACATGTTCTTAAAACAAAATAGATTGGGCTGCCAGGCATATGATGATACAGTATAGCCTGGATTTATGCGGCTTTTGTTTACACGTTTGGTCATTTACGCGGCACCTTGCCAGAATGAAATGTTTTAATTACACAGTAAATTTCATCATTTATGCGGGTGAAGTATAATTTGCTTATTTACTGAAGATATATATGTTTTTAGCTCATAAAGTATATAATTTAAATTGCTGGAATCCTTACAAGATGGTGATCATTTTAAATATAAACATCCTAAAATTTGCATTAGACATACAAATTTTAGATGTAATTTAAGAAGATGATGAAAATGAGCAAAAATTTTATCTTTTGTGCAAAATATATGACGTTTACATTCAAAATATTCCCTGTCTTGCAAGGAATCCAGTAATGTCAATTATATTATCCTAATTTTAGTCTGAGGTATTATTTATTACTAAAAATTTAAATATAATGTTTTTCCCCAAACATTTCTCTGGTAGGGAGGGAAGGTGGGGGGTAGGGAGGAACCCAGCGAGCGTGGGAAGAGAGGGGGGTGGAGTTGAGTCTATTATTTGAATGGACATGAACCAGCGACTGTATTTCTCTTAAATATTAATTGTGTGTGCATACAATCATAAAATTAAGATGTTATTTTTACTACAACATACGTATTGTGTCTGAAAAACTGTAGTTTGGGGGTCGGGCCAGTCTCTATTTCAATTAATCCCATATGTTCTGTTATTTCGTTAATGCGTTTCTCGTTTTACACGGACCTCCACGGGTTCAATTGACCGCTTAAATCCAGACTATACTGTACAGTACAGTAACTGTATATCCATAATATGTTTTAATAGATATAAGAAATGCCTATGTTACTGGTTTATGTTTTTTGGCTATTGTAGTGTACAGTACAGTACTTTTAATTTGATTTCCTTACTTACGAAATAAAAAGTTTACAAACTGTATAAATAGTGTATGCTTGGTTTAGCCTTGTCGGCAAGGTAGACATTATGTTACAGGGGTATTTTGTTAGTCTTCTTAACCTCTGTGTTTCATTAGTTGTGTACGTTATTTCGTGAATTTAGTCAATATTGTACAGTACAAGTACACTGCAATATTCCACATACACGTAAGTATAAATACAAAGTTCACAATGTGATGTTCGGACAACGTCCAAGTCGGTTAACGTGAGCAGCTACACGGCCACCCAGTGCACTACAGTCCTAAGCTTCGTTCCTTGGTGATTGCATATGCCCATGATTGTGTAGCTCAATGATTATCAGTCAGTGTTGGTGTTGTTACATATAATCAGTGGGTTTTTTTACCTTAGTGAGAGGACATCCCTAATGTTCACATTGTATTGTGTTTTGGTAACTGTGAAGTTATTTTTGCTGTTTTTTGTGACTGTTAAGTGTTTTGTCTCTGTTTTTATGAATGTGATGCGAGTAGTGTTGGCTGCTGTCATTGTTTTCACATTATCATTGTTCACTCTGTTTTTGTGACAAGTGCTTTTGTTCTGTTTTTGTGACAAGTGCTTTTGCACTGTTTTTGTGACAAATGCTTTCACTCTGTGTTTGTGACTGTGAAGTGAGCAGTTTAAATTTAAAAATGTCTGGGAAGACCAAGGCACCAAGGAAAACCATGTCTCTTAAGGTGAAGCTTGACTACCCAGAAGCTGTGTGGGAGTCAGAGTGACGTCTCTACTCCACCTACAAGAGTCCCCTTAGCCTCGAAGGAGACATGTGATGACGACCAGATTTGTTCTTAATGATGTGGTTTTTGTTGTTTAATTGTATTTTATGTATATTATTATTGCAAGAATTTTATTTTTGGTGAAACCTGTGGGTGTCAGACTGGTTGAGAATGTATCCCATTGAACCCCATGTTAAATTGAACCTGATTTATGATGTTTTGAGTTGCAATGGGTTTTTCAGGGGATACCTACAAAAAGTATACAGCACGAAGATAAAAATAATAGCATAAACGTAGAGTCATCTGTTAAAACGTACAATCAGCCAAAGATGCATCAACCCCCACCCTAGCTATTGTACTCGAAATTTTACCTGGAAATACTTGGTAAAGTAATGCTGTATGTAATGGGGACTGTGACTGGTGGATCTATTTTTATAATAATTAACTATTCGCCGTTATTTAAGATCATGAAAAATTTCTAAATGTTCATATATTTGATTAAATAATGAAGAAATTCGATATGAGAATCTTGTGGCAGGCCGGGTTGAAGTTTAGTTGCCAATTCATTAATCTAATTTCTTAATTATTTATGCAAATATATGAACATTTAGAAACTTTTCATGATCTTAAATAATGAGGAATAGTTTATTATTATAAAAATTATACCTTTAGATTGTTTAATAATTATCCTGACAGTGATACAGCCGAAAATAGATCCACCAATCACAAACCCCATTACATATAGTCTCACTTTACCAAGTATTGCCAGGTAAAATTGTGATGGTCGATGTATCTGTGGCTGACTATACATAGTATGCCCCAGCTGTAATGTGGTAAAGGCCAAAAATGGATACACAAGTACGTACAGTATATATTTTTTTAAAGCAAAACTCCATCAAAATGCTTGAAAATCTAATTGGGTATATGTAACACTACTGCACTTATAAACAAATGTAAAAAAATTTATTTGTCTACAGTACCTATGTAAGTATGTACACTTTTAGCATAATTCTGCAGTTTATGCTGAAAAATTGGTATAATTTACATCTAAACTCCTAAACAAATTTGTATGGAGCAGTAATGCAACAAAAGCTTTGTCTTTAGTCTCAGGGGCTTCTGAAGAAGCAAATGTTGACAAAATTTTACAAAAATTTACACAGTAACTAAAATTTTGTAAATTACCAGAAAGGTTACACAAATCACACAGAACATGGCAAGTAATTTGTCACTAATATATTCAACAACACTACATCAATGAGGACAGTGCCTATTCCAGCTTATCTCTTGTTCAAAGGGCATCCATTTCATTCTTATGATGCAGCTTTAATCTCAGGCAAAACTAGTTGCAAGTAACAAAAAAATTATCAACAATTTTGGTAACCAAGCAAAGAAAGTATCCAGTATATTAACAGACAGCCCAAGGAAACCCGACCCACAATACAAAAGGCTGGATATACAAGCAAGACAACTGATGCACTTCTGAAACACTGATAACATACTGTATACAGTACAGTACTGCAAAGGCTCTATTTGGATTTATGTTAACTGTGTTTATGATACCAAGGGTACTGTACAGTATATGCTTAATATATATATATATATATATATATATATATATATATATATATATATATATATATATATATATATATATATATATATATATATATATATATATATATATATATATATATATATATATATATACACATTGTAACTGCTGGTAAGTGGAGCACTCTACAACTGAGGACAAAGTTTAAGGGCTAAAAACACACAAGGTTGCAGCAAGGAAGAAGGAAAGGAAGGATTTTAATACAGTACAAATAAGGTTGAAGGACCATCACCAGAATGTTGACTGAGACAGAAGACATCCATGACACTACAAACTACCCGACACCTCAACTGACGATCATGCTTTGGCTACACCAGCATATTCAAAATTGTGTTAAGCCCTACAAAACTTCTGAAGTACAGTATTCAATTAGAACTAAATATGGATGGGTAATCATCTAATCAAATGAATGCAAGCAGGAAAAAAAGACACTTTCTCCACTGGCAAACATCAAAGCAAGTTTGGAGCTTCTAAAACAAAAAAAAATGAGTGCATCAAGCATAGCTAGTGGTAGCTCACCACTTCTAAATATATTCACAAAGACACACAGACATGGTCATGTAAAAAATTTAATGCGGCCACGTTGAAGAAATTTTGAAATGGTGCATTACTTTCTGGATTAAAGGATAATCAATGGACCAACTCTACTGGTGTAGCCTCAGCAGATGGTGGCTAAATACCGTTTCCTACCTCATGCCATTTTTTGAGGAGCTTTCGGCAACGTTTCAATCGCTTTCTGCATCTTTTACGTTTTGTTAACAGCTGTGTGGGGATACATGAAAGAAGTGCTGTCAGAATAACTTTGAATGAATTTTTTTTTTTATAAAACATAAGATACCTTCCAACACTTGAAAAGAAACAGGTGATGAATGTAGTTAACAAGCATATCTCCATGCTGTATTGATAAAGATCAACGAGCAACATTCCGTGATTGTCGAAAGTTAGCATGTGAAGAAGTTGCCTGCATATTACATCATACAAAATAAAGCTAAAAAATTATGAAAAGAATGTGGGTGCTTCTTGCAATTGTAAATGTGATTACAAACAGAACACCTAATGTAGTGGGAGCATGAGAGACAGGGGCATAGGAAAGAAAGGTGGATGTACAGGACAGAGAATTCAATAGATGTACTGAGGAAGAATAAAGATGGAACTGAATTTATCAATATCTAACAATTTAGTAAGGTACTAGTGTAGAGAGACCTAAATTGAAGGACCAAACCAGCTCAAAACTGAAAGCTAAATGAAGGACATTCATGCTTTACACCTCAGGCTTCTTGAATAGTACTGTAGTGCTGCATTGACGAGTGACCGAAGACAACCAATATTCAACCTAAAGAATATCTGTGCTGTTCTATTGGCAATGTATAAGGTAACTACAGTATCAGAAAAGATAACTTGGGGTAAAACACTTACTTAAATAGCTTATGAATGTTTTGTAAATGCAGTGCAAGATCGTTTTCAACTGTTATTAATTTATCTATATTTGCACACATACTTTGCAAACAGTCTTACCTCTTCCTCAGAATTCACTCTCACTCACTCTTGCCTCACTCCTCTCATTTATCTCTCTTTCCCCTTTACAAATACAGTTCTAATAACATCTTTTGTACATTTTCTTATGATATCAACTTCCCTCTACATCTTTCACTCATATTTTTTTGGCCTTAGCAGTTACTTCCATCTTTAATTTTGCACACTTGAATTTATAAATAAAATATATCAACAGTTCCCATAAAACTTGATTAAAAATTAACTATGAGCAAATGAAAAAATTATCCCACCATATACACCATATGAGGAGGCCACAGCTTGCATCACAATTATTTCTCATGCAGTATTGTATGTATGATTTAGACTGTGAACAAAAGATGAAATCTGGTGAAATAACAAAGATTTCTTAGGACAGGGCATATAACAATCTTAGTGCTAGAGTAATTAATGAGTTATGGATAAATTGTAGCTTTAAGAACATTTATATCCTAAGATACAAGATACAACCTGCAGGAGGATTAATTTCCTTAATATAGCAAACTAAGCAAGAAATCAAATAAAAATATTGGGCAAAACTTTGAACTTGAACCACAAGTTAACTGGATGCATTTGTATACAATTTATATACAATACTGTACTGTGTACCACTACATAGGATTGATTTTTTTTTTATAGGGAATAGCCCATAAAAAAATAAGAGTAAAAAAACATTAAAAATACTGTAGAGAAGAAAAAGATTATGTATATTAATCTACACCACGAATATGCCGGAAAAACACCTTTTTAAAGTGAGAGAGATTGCATGAGTATGGAAACACAGAAGACGGCAGAGCATTCCACATTTTGGCTGTGTGAGGAAAGAAAGATGTACTATAACGGGTCACTCTAGTGTGACCGACAGCCACAGAGAGAAACTGTGGGCACCACGAGCAAGACGTGTGTTACGAGCCCACGGCCTTGCTGATGGTACACAGGATGCCAAATCCACAGAACATTGCCCGTTAAAGTACCTGTAAGAGAGAGAGAGTAAAGCAACATTGCTCCGAAGAGAAAGGGAAGAAAGTTATCAACTAAAGGAGGGGAGTCAATAAGATGAAATGCCTTTGATTCCACCCTATCTAACCGTTGGACAGAAGAAGAGCCACCCCAGATATGAGAGCAGTACTCCGAGTTAGGACAAATGAATCCCTTATACTGTAAACTTGAAGGAACTGCTCAGGAGTGAAGTAGCTATGGCATCTGTGTACATTCCCAGCTTTCGGGAGGCAGCTTTAGCAATGTTGTAGATGTGTAGCTTCCATGACAAATTAGAGGAAATGGTGAGACCTAGCATATCTATTCTAGAACTTGGCAGAATAATTGTATCCTGAAATGTGATTGGTGCAAGATCATCTAATCTGGAAAGTGTAAATGGTAAATACTGAGTTTTTTATTAATATTGAATTTAACCAAGTTTCTACCTCACCATTTGGAGATGCTGCACAGATCTGCATTGATAGATGAAATGATATCAGCTCTAGAAACAGATCTAGTTTGAGAATTAGGAGGAAGGGAAAAATGTGAAGAAGATTGAAGAGTCGAATCATCAGCATAAGAATGGATAGAATCAGTCGTAGTGTGAAGTAAATCGTTGATAAAAAGAAGGAAGAGAGTAGGTGAAAGAACAGAACTCTGTGGGACACCACCATTGGTAGAGAAAGAGCGAGAGGTCGACAACAACTGCCATGGAAGCTAAAAATTAGAGAACAAAGTGGGGGAGAGAAACCATAAGAAGGAAGTCTAGAAAGCAAATACTAGTGCCATACCCTGTCAAATGCTTTGGAGATGTCGAGGGCCATGATGAAAGTTTCCCCATAATCCCTAAGAGAGGATGACCAAAGATGGGTGCAGTAGAAGAACAGATCACCAGAAGATCTCGCCTGGCAAAAGCCATACTGGTGATCCGACAAAAGAGAAAAGCGTTTAAGGTGATGGAGAAAGTGTGAGTTTAAGATAGTTTCGAAAATCTTAGAGAGGGATGAAGTTAGGGCAATGGGGTGATAGTTAGCGGGATTAGAATGGTCGCCCTTTTTTGGGATGGGATGAACCAAGGTACGCTTACAAGAAGAAGGAAAAGTTGGGGTTTTGAGGAAAAGGCGAAAAAGGATCACAAGCACAGGGGCCAAAACTTCAGCACACTCCCTCAGAACACGAAGGGGTATTCCATCTGGTCCATGCGCCTTACTCACATCCAACCTGGATAACCCACCAGCAACCCTACGAGTGGAGATTATAGATAAGTGCACAGGTTCAGTAGGAGGAGCAGGAGTAAGAGGGATAGAGCTGGAATCATCTAAGGTGGAGTTAGAGGAGAATAAGGTGCCTAAGAGATTGGTTTTATCAGGGGGAGAGTTGGCTATTGAGTTATCAGGTCAGAGGTGAGGAGCAAAAGAAGGAGTGCAGAAGTTATTACAGATGATTTTGGATGAGGACCAGAAGGATTTACTGGAAGAGTTAGTCAGGACAGCGGTCTTTCTTTTCATAAAATTCCGCTTGGCCCTATGAAGAATAGTGTTACAATGATTCCTAGAAGTAATGAAAGAGGAGTGGGTAATAGGAGGAGATAGTTTCATAACTTGATACACCCTATCTCTCTCCCTACATGCAAGAGAACAGGAGCACTCAAACAACGATTGTAAAGTGAAAGTTTTGGTAGAAGATGAGATAATTGCACTCACACCACCCTGTATAACTCCAGCAATGCTGTCAGCACATACCGAAGCATCCCGAGTGGAAAAGGCACATTCATCCCAAGGAAAGTCGGAGAAGAATTCTCCCAAGGATTGCCAGTTTGCCCTCCAATTAATGCCATGGTTGGCATTTAGAGGGGGGTGGGGGAGGTGGTTGTGCCCAGTTTGATTTAATAGAAATAAGATTGTGATCAGAAGACCATAAGGGGGCAGAAATTGAGTATGAATAGTGTGAGGGGTTAGAGGTATGCAGTAAAATATAATATATTTTACTGCATACCAGTAATCAATTTATGTACGTACTATATCTCGCCCCTTACTAATACAGTACAGTAATATGTTGCACTGTACAGTATAAGTACTGTACAGGGTACTTAAATAAACTGAGGGAAAGATTACTGGAAATCATGACTAAAATAAAAACAGAAAATAAAATATAATCTATTTCATAATAAAAATCAAAACCATACCACATAAAAAAAATTGTAAGATACCTTTGCAGTCTTTAATTCTTTACAAAATTTCTCCTGAGCTTTTAGCAGTACAAATAAGGAGAAGCAAAGAAATGCTGCAACTCCATCACACAAAATACTTTTGTGAGTAATATACATTGCACCATTATGCCCACTAAATTAACACCATACTGTATATTATCCTCTCAACTTGCAAATTTACCTCCTCCATTTCCTTGGCTTGATTCCTGACCTCAATCATTTCCTGTTCCACCTTCTCCCGCATCTCTGTGTACCTCTGTTGCTCCTTCTGCAGATACATCAGGTCCTCCCATGCTTGGGATACTTCTTCTGGCTCATCATCATCACTGTCATCATCTGTGTGATTGAAAAAATGTATGTAAATTTCATTAAAAGGTTAAATGGGTGTGAAATATCAGTTTCATAACACACTTACTTTAGAAATATGGACTCAACAAGTACGTATAAAAATGTCTCCACTTTCATATTCATATGGTACTAAGGTGTCTTTACTTTTATACTTCCTCTAGAACAATGTACTGTATCTCTTAATTTCATATTATTAAATCAGATCAATACAAATGTTGTACCAACCTTAGTGTACAAGATATACTTTAAGCACCGGGTATGTTATAAAATACTTGTATGTCTTATTCAGCAATTAATTTTCAGTCCAATATGAAGTTACCTTACCTCTTTCTTTATCAGTGTCCATGTCAATTATTTCCTCACCATCAGGCCCTTCCATTGGCTCTGAGCGACCTCTGGCTCGTCTTGCCTTCTCAGTTTCCCATTCATTCACAACTAGGTTCTGTCTCTCAAATTCCATAGATAACGCTAATATGTTGCTGTCAATATCCATAAGCTTATTTCTGTTAAAATAAAGATACACAATCACAAAGTACTCAGTTCAGGACAGATGTTCATTATACATACAGTAAAATCTCATCATTATAAAGTAGCTTGGGATTCTGGGATTGAACAAAAAAAATAATTTTTTTTCCGTGCTTCATCCATCAGAAAAGGCTGAGGTGTTGACACCAGACCTGGTCAGTTTATAAAGATAACAATTAAACTAAAATCAACATACATTAATTTACTGTATTAACTCTTTAAGAAGCAGTGTCATGCAAAAGTATAGTGTTTTATTGTGGCAACCACAAGACGATTTTATTAAGTTGAGAAAAACCCCTACCACTCAATGGGGGAAACCTAAGTGATTGAAGAAAACTTAGTAAAATTATGGTTATAGTACTGTAAAAAATCTCCTGATACCTTTCTTTATGGGAATAGCTACAAAACACTAAATTCAAATCTTCTCAGCCAGTCATTTTTACTCAATAAAACTGTCATTTTTTGTAGAATATTACTACATAAATTTGGGATTTTACCGAGAAAGCCGTTTTTTTTCTAAAAACCAGTTTTTGTGATATAGCTCGAATGTGACGTCAGCTATACATGGTGTTATCTATACAATACTGGCAAATCTGAACTATTGCTATCATTATTGTAGACCTACTTAAAATTTTTGTGAACACAATGTTTACAGTGCAGGTATTACCGGGGTAATTCTCTCGTTGAAAAGCAATACTAATTTTTTTTAATTAAAATGGCTGAACTGCATACATATTACAAAAGTGAATTTTACAAACCTTTGACAGTTCACAGTACAGTATACAGTAATATCTCCGTTAGCTGGAATCCCTCAAACCCGGAACTCTCTGATAGGGGGCAAATTTTCCCCAAAATTCTGAGAAAATTTTCCCAATACCCGGAAAATTCCAGGGATGGGGGAGTTTGACATCACATTCTGGACTTTATCACAAAAACTGGTTTTTAGAAGAAAAAAAAAAGGCTTTTTTTCCGGGTTTGAGATATGAAAATCAAGTGCATTTTCCGTAAATTCCAAGAAGAATTTTCCAGTACCATACGGAAAATTCCAGGGATGGGGGATATTTTTCCGGGTTCGAGAGATGATGTAATGGGCAATTTGTGGAACTTCTGAGAACATTTTTTCATTACCCAGAAAATTCCAGGGATGAGGGATTTTTTCCAGCTTTGAGAAAGTTGTATCATTACCCGGAAATCTCTCATTCCCGAAAGTGCTTTGCACCAATTTTTCCAGCTAATGCAGATATCACATACTGTATTTACTTTTGGACATTACAACAGAAAACCCTCGTGTTTTTTCTTAATTACAAGTACAATAGAGTTTTCCTTTGCCAACAACACTTGCCTAAGTGACATCTGTTCACGGAAATAGTCGAGCAGTTCATTCTTCAGCCTCTTGAGTTTCTCAGCATTCTTCTGTCGTTCCTCCTCTATCTCCTGCGGTGTGAGCCCCTCTGTGCTCTGTTCAGTGACACCCTCATTAATTTTACCCTTTAGGCGATCAATTTCCTCTTTTAACTCACTGATGATTGTCTGGTATTGTGACACATGATATGAAACATCTAGCACATTAGACCGCACCTGTAGGGAAAAAACTCATGTCCAATACAAAAGTACACCAGGATGGAAAAAGGGTATTGTACTTAATTAAATAATGTCAGAACACAGAGATTACATGATTCCTTTTCTATTAAAAACATATTGTTAATAAACTATCACTACTTCCTTTAATATCGAAAATACCATTTCTGTGTAAACACTGTGGTACAATGTTTGAGAGCAATATTTTTTTTTATTTAAAGAATCAATTTATCCAAAAAAGAAATTTAAATACTGTACTGTACTGTATTCCTCGAAAAATTTAATCACCTTTTAATTAATTATGTATTATTAAGCAGTCTTTGAATAATACAATCACCTTATTATTCATGTACAGTTAACAACAAAATTTTCTGCGCCCCTGAGTCTGACAGCCTTCACAACAATCACTGACTGAGGCCATGTTCATTTGGTTCAGAATTCTTGCTCCAGTGTTTCATATTGTATAACACCATAAAGGTGCAGAAAATTTTGTTGTTGACTGTATAGTACCACAAAATTATTGGTATAGACCTAATATACAAACATCTGTACATACTACTGTACTGTACAAGTACTGTAATGTACTGTGACATATTTTGAATCTCATGTTATTCCTGTATTTGAATAAAAAACAAACAAAAAACATTGAAAACTTCCTATTTCATCAATATAATCAACAGGATTGTTTGGAAAACTAATTATCAACATTAGTCTTGTCACTTACTATACAGTACAGTATTATTTTGTGCAGGCTACAAAAAATATTAATTTATCACAAAGTTGCTGTACAATTGTTTGAGAGCATGGTAAACTGTACAGAGACAACAAAAAGGGAAATTTCAATTAAATAAACTGCATGCTCCTCACCTGTTTTGAAATATTTTTTGCTCTGTCAGCATATATGAGAGTGTTGCGGGTTTCTTCACGGTGCTGATGACAAGGAGACACATGTGCTACCATCACTGTCCGACAGTTTCCTGACAGTGCATCCTGATAAATATAGCAGAAATAAATATTCTTTCTTTTGTCTTGCAGTAAAGGTACAGTTTCCATAAAAAGGGCATCTACAGGGAAATATGAAGTCCAAAAACAGTGCACGACAAAACAAATTACGGAATATACTTGTTAATATTCTTTACCTTAAGAAGACGTGTCAGTTTAGAGTCCCGGTAGTTAACATACTTGGCACGTCCTTCAGCTAAGGCATTGATGCAGTTCCCTAAGGCCAGGAGTGAACGGTTGATGTGGGCTCCCTCCCGTAGTCGCTTGCCCTTATTCTATAATGAGAAGAAATAGTGATGCAAACTTCTTCTCTTAACAAATTCAAAGACAGGTAATGTCTAATAAAAATAAAGATATGTTATGTCACTATTCACTTTGTAGGGCAGCAAACTCCAAAAAATTAAATTAAGGAATAAAAGCATTATTTGTCAGTGTTACACCAGAAAACAGAACTCATTATAAATGTAAAATCATCATGTAAGATGAGAGTTCCACTAACCTGAGTTTGTTTGGCACGCTCTGAACCAGCAAGATCTACCATGAACAGCCGTCCTTGCTTAATCTCCTCACTCTCCCCCTTTAGTTCTGACCGTCGTACATTTACCTGTCGCATACATAAGACACGAAACACAGGCAAATGTAACCATTAGTAGGTGATATTACTCTCACCATTCATTGGAAATTACAAATTAATGATAATGTTTAAAAATACAAGTAATTTACTGTACTACAATGTAGGCAATACAAAATATGCAACTCGTGTAGATATTACAAGAATTGATGGACATACATCAGAGTTCTCCTTCAAATATATTAATGGAATAATAATACAGTACATGTACTGTGTTAATAGAAATTTTGGTTTCATGGTTTTCAGACTTGGATACAAATTTAATGAAACAATATTATGGCGATATGTAAAAGAAGTTAGTACTCCAGTCATTCACAATAAGTATCTTGTAGCATATTTTCAAATTACCCAAATTATATTTTACTAGTTTTGCACAGTACTGGTAATTAATATTAAATATATTGGGATCATTATTTTATTGTAACATATAATCATTAGTTAAAATGTTCCATATCACTCAAACTATTTTGAAATCTTTAGAAAACTTTCTAGGAGGACAGCTGGTCACCTGATCTGAAAGAGTATTGTACTGTTGAAGCCATGACCTCATCTGGAGACAGTGTACAATATTATGCTGCCTTGGAGGACAGCTAGTGTATTGACATAACCTGTGCCACCTTAATACTGTACACTAGCTATGTTCCAGGTCAGCTGTCCCACAGGTCATCTTAATACACTAGCTGTCTTCCAGGTATGATGTCGCTAACCTAAAGGGTAACCAGCATTATTCATTACTTTTACCTTTACTTTTATTCTCTTTGCCACCGATTGGCTCGCTAGACGTGACCAACCGCCCAAGCAGCTAACGAGCCGATCAGTGGCAAAGAGGATAAAAATAAAAATAAAAGTAATGAATAATGCTAATTATCCTTTAGGTTAACTAAATACACAAGCTGTCCTCCAATTCAGTTTAATACACAAGCTGTACTTAGGGTCAAACTAGTACTGTACATTAGCCGTCTTTTAGGGCAGCTTGTGGTAAAACATTAACGATCCTCCAGGTCTGCATATTACACTAACAATTTCCAGGTCAGCTTAATACATTACCTATCCTCCATACCACCTTAATACTGTACACTAGCTATGTTCCAGGTCAGCTGTCCCACAGGTCATCTTAATACACTAGCTGTCTTCTAGGTATGATGTCGCAGACAATTTTGCCTGGCATTAGCCAAACAAAATATTAACTGACCTGGAGGAGGGCATGGCTACGGGAGGAAGTCTTGTTGGCAGCAGTAGGTTCGCAGGTCCTCTCTTTGTTGCCCTTTGTCAATAGCTTCATTACCTGTATAGCAAAAAACATATGTTGCAGTAGCTACAGGCCTGCAGCCAGGTGGGCTTCAAAGGGTTTGACTGAATCTGGCCTGGGACATCAAATGCTCTCCAAACGAACAATGGAACAATTAAAATGTGTTGATGCATTGTGATTATACACATATAAGATAACACCAGTGTAAAAATGCACACTTTCTTTTGGGTAATTTTTAATGATACTTTTGGACTAATTTTTGCAAAATTAAAAAAAATCACTCGTGATGAAGCAAGTACAGTATTGTATATACATCACTGACTCTGTTGCTTACATGGTTCTGGCAAATACTGGGCAGTGTAGTGGTGTACAAACAAACCAAAATTGAACTAGGTTTAATTTTAGTCCACTGTGGTTTAGAAATAATTGTGTTGTTCTTCAGCATCACTCAATGGTTCATTCTTGCAAAAAGCAGATATATACCCAAAGGTTTGGTTTTCATTTACCAGATCCAAATCCAATGGACCCTTAATGGCGAGCGTCCGCCAGCTCCAAGTAAGGACACTCAACTGAGTAGTGCCCCCTGAGATGCTTATAAACCTCAACTAGGTCCCCCCTTGCCCGTCTGTAGTATAAGCTAGGCAAGTTCAGGCGCTCCAATCTCGCAGGGTAGCTGAGATGCTGAAGTGCAGGCACCAGCTTGGTGGCCCTCCTTTGAACATTTTCAACCAACTGACAGTCCCTAGCATATCTCGGGGACCAGATGGGGTGACAGTACTCCAGATGGGGAAGCACTTCACTCCTGAAGATCGTCACGAGGGACGGACCGTCTAGATATCTGAACGACCTTCTTATAAGACCCAATAATTTATTTGCCTGATTTACCTTCTTCTCACAATGGCCCGAGAACTTCAGCTCATTGTCAACATACACCCCCTAGGTCCTTCTCACACACAGTCTCAACTAGTACATTTTCTTCATCCCGTTGGGACATATGGTACGCCTCCTTACCGTTGGTACGCCCCAGGTGCATCCTCTTACACTTCGTGACATTGAATCTCAGCAGCCATTCCTTCGACCATTCCTGGAGCCCACAGAGGTCCTTTTCTGCAGCTCTTCACAGTCCGCTGGTTCTTAATTTCCTAAAATAACTTACGCCATCGCAAAACATTTGTATGGAGGAGGCATAACGTCAGGCACATTAATATTTATGAAACAAACAAACAACAGCGGCCCAATACACTACTCCCTGTAAGTGTAATTCTCACTTGTTACAGGTACAGATGACGATTTTCAAAGCATTAATCAACACATTGCTTGGCGTCATGTGGAAAGTCTTCTATCCACGCCGCAGGACATTTCCCTTAATTCCGTACCTTCCAGTTTGATTTTCAGCCTTCGTAAGTACACTGCCCAAAGCCTTGGCAAAATTAGCAGGTAAATATTGTCGATATTACCACCCCGTTCAAGAATATGGGTCCAAATATCCAATACCTTGAGCAATTGTGTCAAGCAAGAGCGCCCCGGCATAAAACCGTGTTGGCAATCTTTTACAAGGTTGTTTCGTAGTAGATGTTCCATCGCTGCATCTCTGATAATACTCTCAAGTACTTTACATATTATGCTGGTCAGGCTCACCGGTCTATAGTTGTTCGTGGAGTGCCTATCGCCCTTCTTGAAGATAAGACTCACATAAGCCACTTTCCATTCACTGACTCTGTTGCTTACATGGTTCTGGCAAATACTGTACAGTGTAGTGGTGTACAAACAAACCAAAATTGAACTAGGTTTAATTTTAGTCCACTGTGGTTTAGAAATAATTGTGTTGTTCTTCAGCATCACTCAATGGTTCATTCTTGCAAAAAGCAGATATATATATCAAAGGTGGTGTGTTTTCATTTACCAGATCCAAATACCTAATGGACCGTATAATGGTAACAATAGTATAGATACTGTTTCATAAACTGATTTCCTGATTCAAACCAATAAAAAAATACAATTTGCAATCCATTCTTCATTATGGAACACTTATTCTATGTAAGTCATTACAGTATATAATATACAGTAGTGCATAAAACGGTGTAGCCAAACTTAAACTTTTCATTTATTTCAATAAAAAAATTAAATCTGGGGTAGGAGGGCGTAGAATTAAATCAAATATTAAACCAGCAAGTTAAAGTATTTCTGTATCTAAAGAAATTTTTTTCCTTACTTTTATTTCTAATCTCTTCGTCACAGGTCCAGAACAACTGTTTATTATACTGTACATCGTAATTGTAGTAAAGTACTACAGTATAGAACCAGCTGGCGGGGCCTCATGATGAGAATGTCAAGGTCCCATTCACAATCAGCCCGGTACGACTAATTACCCAAATGTACCCAAATGTTAGTCAGAAGTCAAGAATAGAAGTCAATAATATCGAATGATAAATCGACTGTTACTTCGATTAGTTTAGGAAACAGAATACAAAAAATTGGTAAACTTAATTTAATCTGAGTTGTGTTGGGTTAGGTTAGGTTAGGTACATGCACTCGATCTATTAACTCAGATTAAATTAAGTTTACCAATTTTTTGTGACTTCGTGACACCAAATATCAGTCGAGAAGTGATTGGCAGTCCGATTTATTCATGTAGGACCATTATTTGACTTCATTGCGGCTACATTTGGGTACATTTGGGTAATTAGTCGGACCCCAATCAGCCAACTTACCTGGCTCCACAGATTCTGTCTACTTTTATTACCAAGGATGTATCCATGGCCATGAACTTATAATATAAAACCCAATTTGGTTACTAATTTCCCATAATGGTCAATGACGATTTTTTTATCAAAATACACTACTTTTTGGCTAGATCCCTGAAAATGCAAATAAGCAAATAAACTATCACCTACTAGAGGTGACAATATATTAGACCTAGTATTAACAAATAAAGAAAATATTATCAGAGATATCACAGTAGGGGAAGAACTAGGTAACAGTGATCACAGAGAAATCAGGTTCCCCTAAATTGGGAAACGAAAAACAATGACAATATGGTCAGAATCCCAAACTTTCGGTTGGCGGATTATCAGGGGTTAAGAAGGTACCTAGGTGAGGTCACCTGGGAACAGTCACATCAGTCCCCAGTAGGAAGGGGTGAGGTCTTAGATGACACAACAATTGATCATGACTATACTATATTCACTAGTATACTACATAAAGCACAAGAACAAAATATACCATACAGAAAAATTAGGTCAAATAAGAATGAGCCAAGGTGGATGACCAGAAAACTTAACATGACATAGGAATAAAGAAAGGAATATATAGGAAATTAAAGGGAGGGAGATAGCTCAGAAATAGGTATAAATGAACTATCTAGGAATGTTAAGAAAAATGTAAGGAAAGCAAAAGAGACTATGAAATATAAATAGCAAGAGAATCCAAGGCGAATCCCAAGGGATTTTTCCAGGTATATAGGACAAAGATCAAGGACAAAGTTGGGCCTTTAAAGTCAGGGAGGGGAGAATTGATAAATGGCAGTGAAGAAATAAGCAAAGCATTGAACAGCTACTTCTTATCAGTTTTCACAGAAGAAATTTGCGATGAAATTCCAGAGGTGGAACTGATATTTAAGGGAAAGGAAGAAGAGAAATTAAAGAATATCACTATCAGAAAAGAGGATGTTCTTAAGAAGATAAATAAACTAAAGAAAACAAAATCCCCAGGGCCGGATGAAATTTTCCCTCGAGTCTTGAAAGAGTGTAGGGAACAGATTAGCGGACCCCTCGTAAACTTATTTACAAAATCATTAGACACCGGAGTTGTGCCAGACTTGTGGAAACAGGCAAATGTAGTACCCATATTCAAAAAGGGAGACAGAGCATCAGCGTCAAATTACCGGCCGATCAGTTTGACATCAGTAGTGGGGAAATTTCTTGAATCAATTCTAGCAGATAACGTCCGATCGCATTTAGAGAAAAGCAAATTAATCTACGACTCTCAACATGGGTTTACAAAGGAAAAATCTTGTCTAACAAATCTGCTGACTTTTTTAGGAAAGTCTTCGAGGTAGTAGATAATGACGAAAATTACGATGTTATTTACTTAGACTTTAGCAAAGCATTTGACAGAGTACCGCATCAGAGGCTTCTGAGAAAAATTAAGGCTCATGGTATCGAGGGGAAAGTTTTAAATTGGATAAAATCATGGCTCACCGATAGAACGCAGAGGGTCAGCGTAGATGGTGTTAAATCTGAGTGGGGCCGTGTAACCAGTGGGGTTCCCCAGGGGTCAGTACTAGGCCCACTCTTGTTCATAATCTACATAAACGATCTAGATACTGGGATCAGCAGTGACATAAGCAAGTTTGCGGATGACACCAAAATAGGGCGGCAGATTAATTCAGGGCAGGATGCAAATGCATTACAGGAGGATCTAAATAAACTGCAGGGGTGGTCTGAAAAATGGCAAATGAAATTCAACACCAGCAAGTGCAGCGTACTTAATATTGGAAGAACAAATACTGATAATGTATACAGCCTTAACAACATCAACCTAGAGAAGTCGACTTGTGAAAGAGACCTAGGGGTACTTGTAAGCCCGGACCTACGGCCTAGAAAACAGTGCGTTAATGTTCGAAATAAGGCAAACAGAGTATTGGGTTTTATATCTAGAAGTGTAAGTAACAAGAGTGCAGAGGTCTTATTGCAACTATATCTTGCGCTAGTCAGGCCGCACCTCGATTATGCGGTTCAGTTCTGGTGCCCCTATTATAGAATGGATATAAATTCACTAGAGTCGGTGCAGCGAAGAATGACAAAAATGATTCCGGGACTTAGAAACCTTCCATATCAGGATAGGTTAAAGAAACTTAACTTGCATTCCCTAGAAAGACGAAGAGTGCGGGGAGATATGATAGAAGTATTTAAGTGGGTGAAAGGAATCAATAAAGGGGATATAGATAAAGTTCTTATAATATCCGAGCAGGATAGGACTCAGAGCAATGGATTCAAGTTGGATAAGTTTAGGTTTAGGAGGGAGATAGGAAAGAA